CTCAAAATTCAGCCTGTAATTGGACATGGCCCAAGGAGAAAAGAACCTCATGAACACAGGCCACAAGGATCACATGAATGAGGCTAGGTCATGGACTACCCCAGCCCAATGGATGCCATAGCCTGGCACTTACTCATTGGGATCTCCTGGTACTTATTAAATTTCCCATCCTGTCCTTAAGCCAGAAGATGCAGCTGGTCCAGAGAAGTGTGCCAGGGATACATGAGCTCTCTCAGTGGCCTAGAGCTATAGATTAGCTCTCTAAAAACTTCCCAGGTGTCTGTACCTCATATCTGGGCCCACCAGAAACCCATGATGACATTTCTCCTGTCTTCACAACAGGGATTCACATATCGTGGTGTCTATTGCTGCACAGTGGACCAGAGCACACAATGAGAATTTGCAGGGAGGATTCCCAATTTCAGGATGGCTTTATAAACTCCACAGGGAATTCCAATGTTCCACCAAGATGAGCACAGTGCCCAAGAGGCATCCAGCTCAATGTGGGCTTCCCTGGCCTCAGCAGTGCCATCTGCTGGAAACTGTGTAAAATCCTCAGACCATGCCACAGAGCCTGGACACTCAGAAGCACATAGACTAGACCCACTCAGACACACAGACACACAGACAAACACACACACACACACACACACACACATACATACAAAAATAAATATATACAGACACAGACACACACACACACACACAGACAGACACAGACACTTGCACACCATATGAAATCAAGATCCCCAATAACTATAGGGAGGTGCCATTGTCTCGGTGTATAAGTAAGACCAGAGAGAAGCAGTAATGACCTCCAGACCTTCCAGCCACAAACTGAGATGGATGAATGGGATGAGGCACCCCAGCTGCTGCTAGGTGCTTTCAGACACAATCATCTGCTGGTCAAGTACAAAGACTCACAACAAACTAACAGGACCTAGCATCTCCCACAAGCCAACTTTTGTCAAGGCATCTTGAAATGCATGTTGAAAGCTCACACACTACTGTCCCTATCCTCAGACTCTGGTTCAGGCCACAGGCTCTGCTTTTCATTTGGAGGAAGCAGAACAGTTTGTGTCCCCATTTCACTCCTACCCAGGTTCCAAGTTCTGCATCTTGAATGCACTCAGGATGTTTAGTTTAGGCATCAGGACACCCTGTATTTACAGTCTCCTGTTCCTCAGGAAAACTGGGCTTGATACTGTGGTGTCAAGATGGTCAGCAGAGAACTGGGCATAATGACTACCTGTGGTTCAAATCCTTGTTGATGTAATTGGTGAGGATTTCATGCAGCTCACTTCTCTCGCATGTCATATTATGTAGCCAGATGGTGAGTTTCTCTATTTTTTTCATCTGCTGCTACTGTTCAGTGAAGTTGCAGATTTGGGATGGTGCCTCCTCTGTAGTCTCTGAAGGTAGATAAAGAAAATTGAACTTGTATACTTGAATGGCTTAAGGTTAATAGAGTCCATGATGAGTCCCAAGAAGCCTGAGGAAATCCTAGGGACCCAGTGAAACTCCCAAAGAGCAGGGCAACTATCTTCAAACTGGTGCCCATGATCTATGTCTCTGTCCTCAACTAGCATGGCTAGGCTTGTGCCTCACTCCCTAGTGCAGTCCCCTAGGCCTGAAAGTCATAATGTATCCCAGCCATGTAGATTTGGAGGACAGTGTCAGCTCATATCTGATGTGATGCAGATAAGTCTTGATGTCCCTAAAGCTTAGCCGCACCAAGTCCTCATCACACGTGCCCAGGACCAAAGCATCTGAATGTCTGAGGCCCTGGTAGATGGTCAGGGGAGTTTCCTTCCCTTCTTATTAGCATCAGATTCCCATGGAAACTGTAGGAATCCACTGGGATGAAGTACACCAACACCCTACCCAGAGAGGGACAGCTCATTAGTCCATCTGTTCCTCCTGCCCCTCTTTGCCAGTCTGAATGAAATGAAGGTGTTCTGAGAAAGGCAGCTGCAGCCTGAATAATTCATGGCTCTCCTAAACTGACCATCAGAGAGTCTTGACTCTGGGTCTGCTCTTAAGCTCAGAGAAACAGGATAGGCCCATTGCTTCCCAGAAGCTAACAGAAGGTGAATGAAGCTCAAGTTCACCTCCAGGAAGATGGCTATCCCCTGCTCAGGATTCATTTCCTTCACCAGAACCATTTATTTTTGCAGGTTTGACACTAAGACCAAAGGCAAGCTTCATTTGCTCTCTCTGGTCATTCCATGTTCTGTATTTTCTCTCCTAAGCAGCAGCTCAGTCTTACCAACATGTCTATAGGCACTGAACAAATACCCTACAGGCATTTGGTGTTGCCACAACACTGGTAACATCACAGAGAATACCAAGAGCTCTCCAGGATACAACACAAATTCTAGAAAAAGGACTACTAGGGTCATCTACATGAGGCCTCACCTATCTACTGACTAGCACTTCTGCAATGCACCAAAAGCCATGTTGTCTTTCTCAGGAGCCTTTCCAGAAACAGAAAGACCTCCAACACATCCTCTTTACAAAGCCAGGGCCTCATTAGAATATTTTTACTACTTCACATATGGGAAGTTGAAGTCTCTATTCCAAACACATCTGATGAAATGGCTAGGTATTAGGTCAGGATGATGATGAGGAAATATCGGTCCCCTGATGTGAACAGCACATTGTGGAGAATCCCCAAGGCTGTTATAGTATTTGGGAGTGTTGGAGGTCAGGATGATGAGGAGGAAATATCGGTCCCCTGATGTGAACAAGCACATTGTGGAGAATCCCCAAGGCTGTTATAGTATTTGGGAGTGTTGGAGGTTGTGGGTGCCCTGTCAGAACAAAGGTAAGTCCTATAGTTAATGAGGAAAATTACACCTAATCATCAGCAGAATACATTTGAGACCTCATGATGTTAGCAAATGTGTGATCAACTAGTGACATGTCAGGCTGGAGATGATAAGAACTGGGGCTCTCGAGGTGAGCCCTGAGACACAGGAGCAAACATTCCCTCAAATGTAAGGCTCCTTTCCAGCCTGAGTGCTTGTGGAATTTGAAGAAAGACAAATAGCTAGTGAGAAGCTACACACAGACATGCAAAGGCATTTACAGAAAATCAAATGTGTCATAGTCATGGGAATAGTATGTAGTGTGTCACTGCTGTGGTGCTACCCCTAAAGCTACACAAAGCCAAATTCCTTGACTGGAGACAC